TGACACTTCTCTCCACCCTCACGAAGTTCTTTATGAATTCTTCTTGGAAATTTTCATTGTGACTGTCTTGACCTCAGTATATTCATGAAGACCATATTCTCCCAGTTCTCGTCCATTTCCAGACATCTTGAATCCCCCAAAGGGGCACTGGACAGAATTTGCCATATAACAGTTCACCCACACCGTCCCAGCCTGCAGGGCAGCAGACACTGTCACAGCTTTATCAAGGTCCTTGGTGAAGACTCCTGCCGCCAAGCCATAGAAAGTGTTGTTGGCTCTCTTGATCACTTCTTCTAAAGATTTAAACTTCATGATTTGCTGGACTGGTCCAAATATTTCCTCCTTGGCAATGCACGTCTCATCTGTCACATTGGAGAAAACTGTGGGCTGGATAAAGTAGCCTTTATTCCCCCAGGGGCCTCCTCCACATTCCAGTTTGGCCCCTTCTTTCTTCCCACTCTCAATGAGGTCAATTATTTTATCATATTGTTCCTTGTCAATCTGAGGACCTTGGCTTACTCCTGGGGTCAGAGGATTGCCAAGAACATACTTCTTAGCCCGCTCAACAATCCTTCGAAAAAACTCATCATAAATTGATTCTTCCACAAAAAGCCTGGAGGCAGCTACACAACACTGGCCTTGGTGGAGGAATAATCCCTGGTGTGCAAATTCAACTGCGTTGTCCAAGTCCGCGTCTGCAAACACGATGCAGGGGCTCTTCCCGCCCAGCTCCAGGGTCACCCTCTTCAGATTGCTCTTCCCAGCAGCTTCTTTAATTAATTTTCCAACCTCTGTTGATCCTGTGAACGCCACTTTGTCGGCATCCATGTGGGAAGAGATGGCTGCTCCTGCAGTGGGTCCGTAACCAGGCACAATATTCACCACTCCTGGGGGAAACCCTGCCTCTTTTATCAGAGATGCCACATAAAGAGCTGAGAGAGGCGTCTGCTCTGCCGGTTTGACAATCACGGTGTTGCCACAGGAAAGAGCAGGTCCTAACTTCCAACTAAGCATGACCAGCGGGAAATTCCAAGGAATGATCTGGCCACACACACCAACTGGCTCATG